GACGAGGTTTGGAAGAATTATGGGATGAGTAATGAGCTAAAGATAAACATGAAAAGCAAGTCTACGAAATAATGATGCCATACTAGATAAGACAGTAAGTTATCAATAACAAAAGCACAGAGAGCTAGATAAGACCTATCATACAATGTCACTAAAAGTCACTACAGTAGCAAAAAACAAAATAAAACTATAAAAAAGCAGTAGCCAAACGCCTTTACTGGAAGCCTATTTTTTAAACAAAACTATACGATAGCATAGGCCTCCGCTTCTGACTACTCGTGTCATGTCGTATACATAATACCTCTCAATCCTTGCCTAACTCTCGCGCACCAGTCGATTTTAGACTAAGCTTGTAAGCAAAATCGCAACGTGTGAGACCGGTTTAGCATAATTGGGTTAAAAAGTATAATGGATTTTACGTACTGTACCTGTATGAGCGTTTATTATGTAAAATACGGAAATAAACAAAAATATTATAGACACCATCATTCTGTTTGGTCTTCACCTACGTTTGGAATCCCAAGCAAATAGAAATGACAAAACAACCACGTACCAAAACACACTTACAGACGACACGCTTCAGTAGATACAAACAGGGTTTAAATAGCTTTGCTCATGGAGGAAATAAATGAAATTTTATTTTTGTTTATGCACTGTAATTGTACTTTGTAATACATGTATGACTGTAACAAGCCAATTTGTAACTAATATCCTGCTATATCGAAGATTTATTAAGATTTGTTACACTTGGTAATGACAATATTAGCTCATTCCGACTCCAATGGTTTGTTCATATAAAATAAATTTGTAATTGTTAAAAGTAATCAACATAAAATAAAACTACAGCGCTTATTATAGAATGTAACAAATTATCAATTATTCCTGAAAGAGATCCTATAGTTAATTAAAATCTTGTGATTGGCAGGCCTGGACACAGACTCACAAGAACACATAGAGACCCAAACAAACAAACAAACAAACAAACAAACAACACACAAACACACGGCACAAACGCACACAAACATGACAACAGAACAAGCAGTTTCAAGGAGAAGCAAGTCGAGTCGTGATCGTTAAGAGAAAATATATAGTATTGAGAAACAAGGTGAATCCTCATTTTTTTGGTAAAGGATGTAACGGATACTGAGTTTAATATTGAGAGTGGTAAATTATTCCAGAGTATAGGACCAGTGTATCTAATATTGTGTTGAAAATAGTTAGTGTTATGATTAGGTATGTGAATGTCATTTCTAAATCGAGTATGATAATCGTTAATGGAGTAATTAGGGTAAACATGTTACTAAGATGATTGGGTAGAATAGAATTAATGGCTGAGTTTCCCCACTCTCATATACCCCTTACCCTTTGTTTTAGTGTTATCCTAGTAGGTATTCCTACACAAGTCATTTGAAATCACATTTATTGTAATATTTTTAATTGATATATGCAAATTTAGTGTCTAAAAATACAGTTTTTGACTTTGACCTAATTTTCAAGGTCATGAATTGATTACAAAGGCTTTTAATATTATTTTTTTTATTTGTTGTATAATTCTTTGCATTTTGACACCAAGATCAACCATATGCCTTAGAGTGTTCCAGAGATACATTCTTTTTTGTATTTTTGACCAGGGTCAATAACATTTTACCCCTCATAAAAAATTGTCCCTACCCCTTTTCCCACTTTTTTTTTGGTGTATCCTGGAATGTATTCCTACACAAATTAGTTGAAATCTACTTCTTTCTAATTTTTTCACAGATTTGCCCAAATTTTGGTTAATTTTTGAATACTAGGCCTATAATATATTATAGTAATAATAATAATAATAATAATAATAATAATAATAAAATTAATGATAATTTAATAACTATATAAAAAGCAAATGTACCTTGTTTAACCATGGATAATAATAATGATGATAATAAAAATAATAAGAATACTAAAAATTTAATAACTATAAAGAACAAAGTAATAACCTTGTTTATTCTGTATGGGTAATAGTTTAGCTTTGATGTGTATAAGAGACAGCTAATAAAGTTACAAA